ATGACGACATTTTTTCTAGGTATTGGTGTTCGAGCCGGTACAGTGGCAGAATTAATTTGTTAAGGGCGTGTACTTTTCTTTAACCTCCTGTGGCCTTCCGCGCAGAGGAGTTCGGTTATATGTGGAGAAGTGTATTCCCTGAAATGGCTGCTAGTAAGCGATCTGCTAAATAAAACTGTCGGTCTCTAGTACTTGTTCACAAGGCAGTGGTCATTGCTTCATGAAAAAGTAATTCGAACCCTTTTTCATTCAGGTCAATTTCATTCGAGCATCTGTGTCCTTAGGTTACTCGCACGGTACTGTATCTAGAAAAACGTGGATAAATCTCTAAATTCTGTTAAATTATCGTAGAGATGATTGATTCTGAGCCATTTCCCTCGGTTAAGACGTACTTCGCTCATTTCGAGCATCCCATCAAGGACGCTCTCGTCCATCGGTAAGCTACTGACATCCCGTTAATCCTCGGTAAAAATGTATACTGCCGATCGGACATCAAAGACGTACTCATCCTCCGCGACGATTGCCTTGATATGATTGACCTTGCCACTACGCAAATCACGCATTGACCTCTTTAATTTATCGGTGGTAGTTGAGATATCTTTAGAGTTAATTTAGCAGGTGCGATCAGAGCAAGCATATTCCTATGTTAGATCCATCATTAACCAGGAAATTTTGTTTCTCTGTCATCTCGCGGGAAATCACTTTCACTGTTTGTATGGGAATTATGCCCTCAACCCTAGCCTCTTGGGCTATTCCATCTCCGTAGTGAACCATCATTGGCAACTAATGGTTCATGATCTGGGTGATGTCTATAAGGATGAAACGATTCCCCGTTTCGCTCGACCAACAAAGAGGTTGGCCTTCCGCACTTCCTGCAGTTGTTATGCAGCCATTGGAATGTTGCTTCGCAATACGACGATTAGTCGTATTGTGATCTTGTGCAGTCATACTACCGACTCGACCACACGTGAGGCCATATCACTTTCTTGTAGTACATCGGCATGGTTGTGGACGCTCTTGGACGTTCATCAGATGGGCGTCTAGTGAACAAGCGGCAGGAATATCGACACTTCGTCGTGCCAGCTGACTTGTGACTCGTACCTTCTGAGCCACGTGAATCCAAGATTACTTAAAATTTGTCATCCAAGTCCAAGACGATGAAGTCATCATTGTATAAAACTTCTTTCAGTGCTTAGAAAATTCTATTACAAGTTTCATCATCTTTACGATTGCGACTGTATCGAGGCCTACCATCATCTTCGTTGTAGAAATCTCTCGCTCAAGATATTTAAGCCCGCCACTGTCTAGCGATCGGCGTTGTACAAAGTTTATGACACCCACAGATCGACTGGGGCTCGAAGTGACTTGACCTTTGCCACTTCAGCTCCAAATAATCAAAGAAGCTCATTTCCAGATGCTGAAACGCGTAGTGATTGCGTGCCGGGAGCTATTCTCGCCATGAGGCCTGCAAAATCACTTAACCTTGCTGGACCAGTCAGTAGAATGCTTCGCATCTCCTGACCCTGACCATTTTTTTTGTCGTCCATTGCAGTGCTGAGTTTTTGCAACCGCGTCGGTCCCACGACTCCGGCCCCTACTCGCCGCTTGACGCTTTCTATTACCTGCGGTACGTATTTCCGCGTTCGGGGCGCTGTATCGCATGCAAGTTGTCGTGTTGTTTGATGTATCATTTGCACGTCTCCAATTTCTTATAGCTGGTAATGCGATAGATTTAATTCTTAGTACAACAAAGGTCCATCGGATCTAGTCCTCCACTTTCCTGTCGTCTAGGGGACGATAGGAGTTTGAGTTCACGTGATTTTGTTTCACGCAAAAATCGATTTGTTCCGCAACTCGGATTGCATCTTCCAGAGTATCAAATTTCAACCGGATAAGATAGGTCCTTACTGGACCGTCTGTGAGACCCTGCATGAACAACCTGATCAACACTTGTTCATTTGGCTGATTGAACGTGATGCGGTTCGTAAGATGAAGTGCGTACTAAATGTACGAGTGTACAAAATGTTTGCCTTGCCAAAATTTCAGGAGTTCCTGGCGAGATCTATAAATTAGCTTAAGGTGGTTTAAATGTTTGTCTTAGCAGAAACTTGAAGCCTTCGAACGACAAAGAGCAAATGATTCGTGTAGCTTGGGGCCTAAAGGCTCAAGTATTGGCACCTTCTGCCAAGTTTGACTGAGCAAATGCGACCAGCATATTTTCTCGACGATGTGACAAGCCCCTATGGCGTCATCTAACTCCACAAATTATATCACAGCAGAAAATCTTCTTAGCTGCTTTGTCTTTTAAGATGTCAATCTTTAGAACCTCGGGTCGACGTACACACGTCGACACGGTATCAGTGGCCTGCCGCTGTATTAACAGTTAAATATGTTGAGCTTTATGTTTTCTTAACAGCTCTTTCTGTTGAGACCCTCGTTGGTGAAGCAAGGCTACCTTATACATTTCAGTGTCAAGTTCATTCTGAGTGAACTTGACGATGGTGGTGTGTTGCCCGTCTGGAAACAGAGCGGACAGCATCCGCCTACGGCTTTTTGACTTATCGTCCAACTCAAACGATCAACAGCATCCCGTTCGATTTGACTCAAATGGAAGTAGCTCTAGTGCAGTGGATGGAAATATTCCGCTTCATCATCCAACATGCTTATAGTCGTTGGATGGACTACGAAGTGCTACCAGGTGTTACGGGGCACTGGTCGCTTGTACTGTCACAGTACAAGAATTTTGAACTGAACACAGAGTAAGTTGGTGCCTCGAGACTTCACGTACACGTGTCATGCAGACGAAGGTATTAACATGAGAAAAGGGTGAAAGTAGAACTGTGTCTATTACAGTTAATCTCCTGTCAATGAATCCCTATTTGACTTCATTTACCGATGTCTGAATACAACATGTGTTATAACTATCTGCTCACCACTCATTGATTTCTACTGTGTGGCTCGGCTGTATTGGTGAATATCGTTAATCTATGTCAACCAATAGGCATTGTATTACTTCTGCAACAAGATCTTACTTACTTAGCTAGCATGTGACAATATTTTTTCTCTTAACAGAGTATTCGTACCTATTATTTACCTGATAAACTACATACATCAGGTAAATATCAAGTACGAATACTCATGTAACAGAAGCACCCTGTTACAACATGCGTCGATACAGTGTGGACTTACAACATTATGTATCCTATATTCCGTGAAACAGGCAAGATCTGAATCTAAAATAGTGCATGATGAGCAGGGTCATTGCAGAAGAAAGATGCCGGTTACAGATACTTACGTACGGACGTCAACCACATGTATAATGCTACAAGATTTTGCTGCGTATTTAGACGTACACGTTGGCCTGTTTGACGGTTTCCTTGAAGGACTTTGCCGCATGAACGCTTGACTTGCCCAATTGATCCGGAACACGTTTCACACTTGTATATTATGAGGCTTCTGTGATGGACCAAGATTAAATGATACACTCTAGTGTTTAAGACCAGCTGGTCCGGGTCCAGGGTCGAGGTCTGACCCGGACTAATGACCCTGGGTCGGAGCCCTGGACACACCAAGACTGCTGAACTGTTCATGCTTATTGTCGTAATACGTAGGAAAGTGCGGGCATTCACGACCGTGCGCATGATTAGTACATGGTAGCTGATACTGACTTGTTTGCTAGAGACGGTGCTCGAGCAGAAGTCATACTGAAGTAAGGTACCCAGCGCGATCACAAACCGCAGGTGGCGCGCTGTGCGCAGATATCGCGATTCTTGCGTGATCCGCGAGTCCATGGTGAGCTGGATGCTAAGTAGCTGACTTTGTCGCGGTCTCGCAAGGTTACGACGACATTCAGGATTAACTGCGGTACTAGACGCAGGCGAGATGCCAACGCTGGTCGTAAACGAGCGAGCACACGTTGCGAAATAGGATTGGACTATCCTGTTCAAGAAAAGCTTGTCGACGATCGCCTGCCGCTCGTCATCGGTCTGGCTATATCATCACGGGATCGGAAAATGTGGACCGATGTCTGATCATACAGTTGAAGGCACCTGGGCTCGCCATGTTGTACCTGCTAGTCTTGCTTTACAACATGTTTGCTGGAATGTGTAGTGAGTGATAAAGAGGTGACGTCAGGTAAGACAGGACAATGTCGACGAACGCGGCGCTCTTGGTCTATGTTCAAACCACGGCGGCAGACGATCGAGCTGAAGAGATCTGGAGGTGACGGACAAGAGGGGGAATTGCCGCCGTCTAAACCTCACTAGATAAGCACGTGAAGTTTCCATCGTGCAGCCTCCCTTGTACGCCATCATTGCCGAACCAGTAGCCAGTGAAAAAAGGCACTCGAGTCAACGCGAGCAGCCCTGCGAGAGCACCGTCGCGTATCAGGGCAAGCTTCATTGAGGTGAAATCGTCGTGCTCGTTCATTTATCTCTTCCTCCAGTGGTTGACGGTTCTAAATCTATGCTAGAACTTTGATCGCTCTTTTACACAGACGTAAAAGCTATTTGTCGCGGTGACGAAGCAAAGTGGCTCTTCGATCATCTCCACCATTTGTGGTCCAAAAACAGCACCGAATGTCCATGCAAAGCAGCATGTTCCTCCTTCATCAGTACACTGGGTATTCAATAACGCCATTGCCTCGCAGTTGCTTGCGGTGAATTTAATATCGGACTGTGAAACGTCGTCGCGCAGAGAGTCCAGAGAGCAGACCAGATGGTCGACGCGAGTGCTCCAGCTGCGGTGCATTATGTGATGACAGTGGCGAGTTCATTTGAGGCTGTGCCGGTCGCATGGCGTCGTAAATGGCTTGAGATCGCTGATACGACAAGGCATGCCACCCTGACTCTAGATTGCACACGCAAAATGCATGCACCTCAATGGACAAAGCGGTCAATGGGCACTCAAGGCGAGGTGTTGGCTATCTATTAACCCCCAGCAACTGAACAGTTGCTGCCAAGTGGTTCAGTTGGCAGCTGCCCAGCTGTCAAACGTGACGGATGACACCGGAGATCGATGAACATTTGAGCGAGTGGACGTGGCAACGTGTGGTGACCACCAAGTATCAGTGGCACGCTATCGTGGACAGGACGACGTTCCACTTGGCCAGCTGTCACTGACTTCTTTTTATGTCCCACCTCACGCGGCAAAAAAACGGACCAAATGACCGCGATTGTCCGCGTTTGTTCGATCTCTTTGTAAACACACGTCCGCCCTCGCTTGTCCTTCCAAACACCTTCTGTAAACTATCGGAACATCTCTCAACTTCCAGCATCGATCGATCCAAGGTTCAGAGTTTCACGTAACGTCGTCTGCGACTTTCATTTGGCTTTTTGCAGGCTATCGACTACTTGCCGCGTCAGTCGACGGCCATACCAAACGTTCCCACGTACGCACTTCCATACATCCACATAGAGGAAGGAACACATGGATCGCTCTGCATCTTGCGATCATCGTCTTCCGCTAAACTTACACGCGTCTCCGACCTTATCGGCAGCCCGTAACGTAGTCGAGTTAGAGACCGTCACATCTGTATTGAGCCTTGAGAGCCGAGTCGTGACGCTGACGCAGGACGAGATCCAAGTATGTACTCGTCTGGCTGACTTGTTACTGGCCGACGCCTTGCGAGCGTACATCGAGACGAACGGCAGTCCAAAAGTAGATGTCCAGCAGTGGAAACTGCTCAAGAAGAAGGACCAACTAGGAGCGTACAAGCACAAACGCAATGCTGGAACCACTGGACAACAACTGGATCGTCCATTTGCCGCAAAAGAGACGGAGCTGCCGTTGCTACTTGTCACGGGGTCCGTGGCTGGACATGTTCACGACGCCATGTACGGTCTCGTTAGTGCCACTACACGGACCATGAAGATGAATGGCGCTTACGCGGACGATTCACTCGAAGATGCTCAAGTACTGGCAACAATTGAAGGTCCGACAGTGAAAGACCCTTTTCGCTTTCTTGGTCTCAAGTGGGCCGTACGTCGCGATGCCATGTATGGCTCGTCGTTTGTCAAGCGACGCGATTTGCTCTACTTGGAAGCCACAGGTCTCACGAAAATGATGGACGGTCAGTGCGTCGGGTACCGCGTCATCCACTCGGTGAGTATTAAAGCTCTCGCGCAATTGGCGACGAAAAGTATCTCGTCCTCCGTGATCCGTGCTCGTGCGTCCATTGTGCAGTTGTTTCATCAACAGCCGTCTGTGGACGGATCGCGAGGTCTGTCAGGCACGTTGAACGTGTTTGCGAGAGGCTATTATGACCCGCAAGGCGGCATGATGCAATTCATGGCACTTCATGCAGGAGCAGAGCTCTTGCTGCATATGACGTTCTCTGCGGTAGACTGTGCCCACCTCAAGAAGATCGCTTTTGCAACCCAACAAGCTTGTCGACGTCGACAAGGTGTGGCAAGTCAGCTGCACAAGACATACTACGGCGACGACCGTGGCATGGCAGGAATTGAAGAAATGAGTGATGAAGATGCTGCTGGGTTTATGGAAGACAAGGTTTTGTCCACGCACTGCTCGTTGTGTGAGCGTCGCATAGGCAGTCTGCTCAATCGAAGTGGGAGACCTTGCACCATTTGCGCAAGGATGGTTTGCTCGCGCTGCTGTGTGGTCAAGAAACTACCCTTTTTTCTCAGTGATGGTTGCAGCTTACCCACACATAATGGCACGGGGCTTGATGGGAGTATGAGTGTACAGCAGCAATTCGAGCGACCCGAAGGATCACGAGCTTTGACCGAGCAGAGCCGTAGCAGTAATGGCAGTGGTGCTGCAAACATGAACGGCATGTACCAGCAAGCTCTCAAGTTCTGTCTGCCGTGCGTGTTGCGCGCAAACCAACGCAACGCCTCACAGATTGTCATTGAAGAGATTCTGGAACAGACGAGCCTCGGACTTGTCACGCCTCGCAGTACGTTCAACCAGCTTGACGGCCATCCTAGTCCGTCGCCATTGCGGCGGCGGTCGACTCAGTCTGTACGGGCAAACAACTCCGCACAAGTCCCGTACGGGTCCTACCAGTTTCCACAGCACGCGGCCCCTATTTATTCCCAGCCACGGCAGAAGGCGTACAGTGCACCGTGTGGCCAAGTTGGCGTCCATCGCTCATCTTCGATTACCACGCGCGTGATGCTGTACGTTGAAGACCCAACATCGCAACTACCAGGCTACAAGGCCGCTGCATAAATTATATGGTGCCATCAAAAAGCGATTGACGTACGTGTAGTGTAATAGACTGTACACTGGTAATAGCGCATAGCAATGCAGGAAGTGCTTCTTGATGTAGTCGATCACTGGGCAATTGTCAATTGTGAGTTTCATTGTGCTCGTCATGGAAGGCGTGACACAATCAGCAAATGGTTTCTCCCAAGTTCGTGTTGCTGTGAAGATGTTTACATCAAGCAGTCAGCTTGCATCTCGGGCTACCACCCTAGTGGCGACGTCAAAATTTAATTCAATGCAGCTTTCGTGTTGTTAGAGCTACCGAGGCTTCTTGTCTCCTTTGCATCTCATCAACTCCATGAGCCGTGGCTGAAGCTGTAAAGTCACATTTAGTTGTCAGCAGCTACCCACGGCAAAAACAACAATATTGTAGCACAACGAACGGAAATAACTGGGAGACGTGCAAACTGAGCGGATTCATTGTCAGGGTAAAAGATGTTGACTAGATGGAAACTAGCGCGCTGTAAGAGTCGATCACTAGTTATTGAGTAAAAGTGACGCTCTCCATTATTTTCCACGCCTCTATCATCGCACAACGTGCAATCGCCACAACTATCGTAGACATGGGGCCGCATACTTGTGAGGCAGGAAATCGAGGCCTTACTGACTCGAAGACGTGTCGTTTTAGCGCAAAAAAATAACATGATCGTCCTAGGCGCCTATGCGGCTACTGACTAGAGCAGCATGTATTCCTAACCAAATGGAAACGTAACATCCCTTAGTTTGCCGCCATTCAATAGGAAGACACACTTGTCTGCCATGGACCGATTGTTTTATCAACGAAAGCGACCACGAAGTCTTACGTCGCATGCACTCGTGTTCTATGAGGCAGAGATAGCCACTTGACACACCTCTTTGAACAAACAGCTCACAGCTTACAGACCAAGTGATCTCCTCGTCCGTGACTACCTGTCAACAACGAATGCGGTTGAATGAAAATCTGTATCCTTTTTGCGTGTCTGGTAGTCAAACTTTCAACGTTTGCGTCTTACCTCTTGGTAGGCAAGGGTGGCTTGTGGCATCTTCAGAAAGTAATGGACACCCACACATATCGCAAAACACGCGCCCAGGAAGTCGTTAGACGGTAACACACGGCGTCAAACAGTCACAAAACCGAGCCTGTAACCTACCGCGCATGGCTTTGTCAATTCTGTCGATTTAACAAGGCCATTCGCTGGGTGCAATGACCAACAAACGGAGCTAAAATCACTTGCTCTCAGAGTCCCTGGTTTTTCACCGTACAGCCACTCAAAGTTTACGTTAAAACTCGCGTCGACTACTTACTAACATTTAGAAAATGGTCTCGAAAATCGTCAAGAACCCCAAAATGTAGCCAAAATTTCGAATCTGAGATGGACCAGTGCTGTGACAAATTAGTTTGCCAAGTGTATTGCCTTTTCCGTAGGATTAAACATGTGTTTAATTTCCGATAAAAGGTATTTCGATCACTACAAATATGTCGCTGGCGAAAGCGCGTACGTGGCTCGCCGGGTATGCATATGAGCAACGCCGGCTCGAAGTGAATGAATTTAGTGGTCGACAGTATGTCCTGGATGCTGTTAAAATCTCCATCAGGCAATTGATGAAGAATTCCACATGCTTCTTCCGTCAATAGAATTTGAGCGCGTAATAAACGCAACTACTGAGACCAGTAAGCTACGCACGATGGTGCGGTATAACTGCTCGCTGTAGCAGATTAGTAGATGATCCGAGATGATGATAGAATATCTTCGCGATTTTTGTAGTAACTTCTCGAACGCTAGCAACGGTAACCTACTTGAAAAAAATTTCTGACCTAAATTAAGCACCACGTAGACGGCATGAGTGCAAAACGGATTGCCGTTTCGAAAGGACATCCGATCATAGTGCGGAGTAGGGATGTTGTCGTCGTTGTCACCGAGGATGCTGGCGAAGAGTTGCTGCACACACTGTCTATGACCTCATCTCAAGAAGGTCGTGCGGGACGCCACGCTCACCACATTAAGCATGCACGAAATGCGCGAGATATTCAGCATTCGCATAAGCTTTGCTGTGTTTTAAAAATTGGACTCGACAGACCAGAAGAAGGATCCTATCATGATGAAATTTAAGTCATGGCCTTCACTCGTCACCAGAATGGCACAATTCGGCTCCAACCGAAGCTCTGTGTAACGGGGCACCCTGAAGCTTGTACTGGTGACAGTACAAGCTACTTATTCTGATGACAGAATAAGGCGGTGCCTCGTAACTTCACGTACACTCGTACGTGCAGAGGAAGACGGTAAGAAGAAGCGAGTACTTGGTTAAAGTAAAAAGTAGAACTGTATTTATAATAGTTAATGTCTGCAATAAATCACTATTTATCTTCATCTAACTATGTCTAAATACAAATGTGTAAATGAGTTATCTGCTCACCACTCATTGCGTGCGTCTGTCGTGGCGCGTCTTCGTTGGTTGATATAATGGCCTATATCAACCAATTAGGAACTACTTGTAAGTGCTACAGAATATTTGTCCTTATGACAATATTCTGAGAATATAACTCTTATAGTTATATTCTATTAACAATTTCTTATAAATTGTTATGTAACGATTCACCCCGTTACATCACCCCCCTTAACCATCAGTCACTTTAGTGACTGATTGACTAAATGGATACTCGTCCCAAATCATTTGGGACAGGGTTTGCACTTGTTGGTCCGCGTCCACTTTCCAACATTTCATCGCATGGTTAACAAGCCCATGCGATGCGCGAGCAAGGCCGCCGAGAGCGCGTCTGCACGTCTCTGTGCGGACGCCGAAGCAGAAACAACAGCAACTGATGTCTCATCGGTTGCTGAAGCGACCCAGCCTGTGTCACTTGGTGATGCAGGCGCTGGTCATGAAGACACTCGTGTCTTCACAGAGTACGAGCTCGGTGTCTCGTACTCTCCTGATACGGATGACGGATCCGTATCGACGGCGAATGAATCTAAGCCGCCTGCCAAGCGTGGCATGGACGATGCTTTGCGTCGCAGCATCTTTAATTCATCTGATGAATCAGATGAACCATCGCCGAAGCGAAGGCGCTCGAGGTCGCGAGACTCGGGCGCTAATAGTGGTATCGGTTCTCCTATGGACACCACTTCACAGCGAGGTGCCAGTACTTCTGTCGGCACGTCGCAGGAAGAGCGGGACCGCAATGTGTTGCGTCTCGCTCCTGAAAAGAAGGCATGGATGCCTCCAAAATCCGTCATGGATCACTTGTCGGCGACGACGAGTGATCGTTATCGAACACGATTGTTCGATTCGTCAAGGATCCATCACCTTGACCCCAGCGCGAAAAACTATCGCGCGGAACATGAATTCTTCATCGATGCTTTCTTCAGACATCGATGGTACAGTGGGAACCACAAGCGTGATGGTCCCTCACTACTTCAAGAGTGGAACGCCTACATCCATAACCTTGAGGATGTAGGTCGTGACGCTTGGAACGACAAACTTATCAAAGCTCGTGATAAGTTTGAAAAGCGAACCCCGACAGGTGCACGCTACAAGCTGCATCGTCTGTCAAGGGAGAAGGGATTACCCTGCCTCTCATGGGGAGACTCGTGACCATGTTGTGTGAACAACTCTGCACGAGCACCTAAGGAGGCTTACCTCCTTACCAGCCCGTGGTGGCGCGTACGTATCTCTACTGAGATGTACGAAGGGATTGACAACCTGAAATCCCTTTACGACCGTGCCGGGAAGACTTTCTCCGGCGGTCCTTCTGCGGCACAGGATGTGCCGCGTCGTACTGCTCAACCAGACCCAGTACGTCGATCATCAGTTGGGAGCGGGGCTCCCAAGAATCCCAGGACGGGGGATAGCCGCGCCACCGGACGAGATAACTCGTCCGACGTCCGTTCACGTCGCGGTGGTTCAACAGCTGCTCAACTAGATAGCACTGGCCACCGCGAGAGTCCTCTGATGGAGATGGAGGAGGAGGAAAGACGCTCTCCACACGATCATGTGGATCGGTGTGTTCCCGAGCGCTTCTTTGATCGCGTAACGCAAGGGTTACGCAACGATCTCGAACATGAGCGGAATAGGCGTCTCCAAATGGCGGACACTGCCTCGAAGCATCGAGCTGAGTTTGCCTTTGCTCAGCTTGAGAACGAGAGATCTCTGACATCTCTTCGTGACGAGCTAAGGGTAGCTCGTGGGATTGCTGATCGGTCTCGGGATGAGATAGCTTCTCTTCAGACCCTTGTTGATGCCCACCATCGGGAGCACAAGGCTCTCTGCGAGATGCTTGAGCGCAAGGGCGTTCTTCATCGGAAGAAGCAGCGTACTGATGGTACGGCTTAAGCCGACCAACGTAAAACGTGGGATGCGTTCGCATCTTACGTGGTAACTCGATCGTGTATGCATTGCCTAGGCGGTGCAATACACGAAATGGGCCGATGTACTTGGGTAGTAGTTTACTGCTACCCAAGTTAGTCACTACATGCTTTGGTAGATTAACCGTAGACAGTAGGACTAAGTCACCTTTATTAAATAAAAGAGTGTTTGCCCTTCCATTCTTGTCAGCGTTTTGCTTTTGCTTATCCACCGCTTCGGCGATGGAGTCTTGCACAAAACGGACTACCGTTTCACGAGCCAGTATGAACTCATCTGATGACTCGTTAGCTTCAGTGTGCTGTGAGCGCACTGCAGCAACATCAACCTTTTCTTCAGTGAGGGCTTCCGCACTCTCACTGGGATCATCTTCTTCAGTGAGGGCTTCCGCACTCTCACTGGCATCATCTTCTTCGATATCGATGTTATCGATATCGGCATCAAACGCAATGACTTCTTCGTCAGAGCGTGATGAGCGTGAACCAATTCGGTTTTTGCTCGCGCAAGTCCCTCCCCCCCTTAAACCAGAGTTACACTCTAGTAAGGTGGGTACACGTGGATGGCGCAAGCCATTCACGTTAAACGGCATATGTGTCGTGGACGCATGCACCGAGTTGTTGATGGCAAACTCTACCATTGGCAAAAACTCACTCCAACTCTTAAAGGAGTGTACGTATCCTCGAAGGATCTCTTCAAGGACACGATTGGCACGTTCCGTCTGACCGTCTGACTCTGGATGATCAGATGTCGACATCTTCAAGCGCGTTCCGAGTGATTTGAACACGGAACGCCAGAAATCAGCAGTGAATCGTGGATCTCTGTCTGATACGAGTTCACGGGGCAACCCATGAAGTCGGAAGATGGTGTCAATAAAGACACAAGCACAGCCACTTGCCGTGATTGACGCTGGTACAGCCACAAGGTGTACCATTTTGCTGAATTTGTCAACAAATACGAGAATACCCGTATTCTTGCGTGCGTCTTTGGGTAACCCGAAGACAAAATCCATTGAGATGGATTCCCAGCACTCAGCCGGAACCGGTAGAGGCTGTAAAGGTGCACGCAGTGAAGGACTTGACTTCACTCGTTGGCAGACTTCGCATGCGCGAACACACTTTCGCACAAACTGATACTGGCGGGGCCAGTAAAAGTCTCGACTCACCGTGAGATATGTGTTCTCCCGGCCACGATGTCCTCCTATAGGAGCATCGCGATACTCGAACATGATCCGCAAACGCAGATCAGTATCATCTGGAATGACAACACGTGGTGTGTCACCAGAAACGGCTGTATAGTACAGTAAACCGTTACGAGTAGTGTATCGATCTGATGCAGATCGATACGCAGACGACAATCGTTTCAACGATTCTCGAGATGGTTGGGAGAGATGTGTCAACAACTTCACTATCTCACCATCTTGGGCGTATGCCCGCCTCACATCATCATACAACGTTGTAGATGGGACTGAGGACGTCATAACCGCAACAGTGACTGTCTCACTGTTGGGTTTCGCGACTGTTTCAAAGTCGGGACGACGTGAGAGTGCATCAGCAACGACATTAAGTCGTCCTGGTTTGTACTCGACCGTAAAGTTGTATTCCGCAAAGAATGACAACCACCGCGCCATTCGTTGTGAAAGGTGCGGGCTGTTCACTGCCGTGCGTAATGACGCATGGTCAGTGTAAACAACGAAGGGTCTATCTCCTAATAGATAGACTCTGAACTTCGCGAGTGCATACTTCATGGCAAGGAGTTCCTTGTCATGCACTGGATAGTTCCGCTCAGCTGGTTGCAGCTGACGCGACTGATAGCAGACGACGCGTTCAACGCCTTCAAGATCGTACTGCATTAATGCACAGCCGATTGCGAAATCGCTGGCATCACAGACCACATGAAATGGCCTGTCCTGATCGGCTATTGCTAGGACTGGGGATTGTATCAAGCTCTGCTTGATACCATCAAAGGAGCGCTGACATTCAGCGTTCCATAACCACCTCTCGTTCTTTTTCAACAAACGAGAGAGGTGCACAGTCATCTCGGCGTAATTGCGTGAACACTTATGCAAATACGCCGCTAGCCCAAGGAATTTTCGAAGACCTTTGACATCGACCGGCACAGGCCAGTCGGTGATCGCCTTGATCTTTTCGGGATCAGGACGTACACCGTTCTTACCAACGATGCACCCAAGAAGTGGTATTTCGCTTGCGGCAAATATACACTTCTTGAGGTTTGCATACAATTGATGCTTTCGCATGATTGTAAGAACCTGTCGGACGTGGTACCTGTGAACCTCAACGTCCGACTTTCCATCCATAGCTCGACTATGGATGAATACGTCATCGAAATAAATCGGCGCGAATTCTCGTACTGGTCTCAACAGATGTGATACACATCTGTTGAACGTGGCAGGGGCATTACTAAGCCCTTGTGGCATTACTAGCCATTCCCAGAGCATGCCGCTAGGCGTGCTAACTGCGGTATAGGGTATGTCCCGTTCCCGCATAAGGATTTGATAGAAGCCATCCATCAAATCCATGGACGAAAAGATGGTACTCTTTGACATACCATCAATGATTACGTCCTTCCTCGGTATCGGCGTCTGAGCCGGTACCGTTGCAGCGTTCAATTTGTTGAACGCGTGCGCTATCCGCCACCCTCCTGTTGCTTTTCGCACACAGAAGGTCGGAGAGCTATGTGGGGAAGTTGATTCCCTCACATGGCCCGCTGCTAAACGATCGGCAAAGAATTTGTCGATCGCAAGTACTTGTTCACGGGGCAGTGGCCACTCCTTCATGACACAGTACTTCGAGCCTGGTTTAAGCTCGACCTCGTGTCGAATACCTTTATCCTTCGGTAATTCGCACGGAACAGTTTCAGGGAATACATCCTTGAATTCAACCAAATCTTCATAGAGAGAATTTGTCTTGAGCGATTCCCATGATTGGGAATCATATCGCTCAATTCGTGTCTTTTCATCTAGGACACTCTCGTCCATAGATGAACTACTGAGAACTCTCTCGTTCTCAGTGAACACTGTTGCTGACCTTATGTCGGTTACACACTCGTCGTCATCGACGAGTATGCAGATCTGCTTGACTTTGCCACTACGCAGATCACGCAAGAACCTTTTATGTTCGAGCGTTGGCAACTGAGTGATCTCCGAAGTTTACTTCGGAGGCGCAATCAGATCAAGTGTATAAGCGCCTACACTTGATCCGTTATTGACTATGACATTCAATGTCTCTGTCATTTCCTGGGGACTTATTCCCTCAGGCCTCGAAGGACTTATTCCTTCGTCTTCCCGGGGACTTATTCCCGCGGGTTTCGGGGAACTTATTTCCGCCGTATTTGTAATCTTGGGACTTATTCCCTTTACTTCCTCTAGCTGTGGTTGCGCAACCACAGCGAGATCCTCTACGAAAGACTCTCCAGTCGATCTAGGATCATCGTTTCGCTTAACCTGAGCGATCGATTGTTTCTCTTCTAGATGTTCCCCGCTAGGGATACATCTTTGTCCCCGTCCACCCGACTTATTCGAGTGGTTGACCTTCGGCGCAGCCTGTGTTTCCTCACAGCCGCCGGAACTTTGCTCCGAAGTGTAACCGTTTGGTACACTAAGGTTTTGTGCAGTCGTACTAACGACCGTACCACAAGTGAGGCCATCGCACTCACTCGTAGTACATCCACACGCTTGTGGACGCTCCAAAACGTTCATCAGATGGCCATCTGATGAACAAGCGGCAGGCATCGTTACTGTTCGATGCTGCCAGTTTACCCGAGGTTCGTACCTTCTGAGCCACGGTATTCCAAGGATGACATCAAATTTGTCATCCAAATCCAATACGATAAAGTCATCGTCATATTGGGTATTTTCTAGCGTATAGTGGATCTTCACTATACGCTTCATGACGGTTACGGATGCGCCTGTCGCAAGACGTACCGTCATCCTCGTAGGAGGTGTGTCACATTCACTGAACTCAAAGTGACCATCTTCTAGCGATTGGCGTCGCACAAAATTGTTGGACGCCCCACAATCGACTAGAGCTCGAAGGGACAACTTATTCGTCACTTCGAGTTTCAAGGTAATGAGTGAGACCTCATTACCTAGAGCAGCAACGCACAACGTTTGTGTGTTGGGAGCAACCTTCATCAAGAGGCCTACAAATTCTCTTGACGTTGCTGGATCAGTAGGGTGCTCCGCACCTACTGATCCTGTCCGTTTTTTGACGGTCCATCCCGTTTGTTGCGTCTTTGCACCAACAGCGGACCCTCGTCCCTGCCCCTTTCTCATGGGTGGACGGTCACTACGCCCAGTGTCGCGAGACACTGGACGAGGGGCACTACACTCGTAAGCGTAGTGTCCTGTCTTTTGACATCTGTTGCATCTCTGCAACTTCTTGTAGTCTGTAGAGCGATCCTTCTCGCTCTCTACATAACAGAGTTCCATCGGCTCTGGACCTCCGTTGTCATATCGTCTCGGTTGACGATATGATGTCGAGCTGGCGCGAGCCTGTCTCAGACTGAAGTCTTCCTGTTCCGCAATGGAAATGGCTTGTTCTAGTGAATCTAGTTCAAGTCGGAACAGGTGAGTCTTGACGGGACCATCCGCAAGACCCTGCATGAACACCGAAACCAACGTGTGTTCATCCACCGGATTGGAACTTATACAACTCGTGAGATGTCGTATATGTTGAGCGTAAGCGTGCACATCACGCTTACCCTGCTTGAGCTTCAAGAGTTCAGTTCGAGCCCTGAACTCAGCTCTAGGCGGTTCAAACGTTTGTCTGAGCCGCGACTTGAAGACTTCCAACGACCCAAACGCATATGGGTCGTGCAACTTGAGCCCCAGTGCCCAAGTCTTGGCACTTCCTGCCAGATTTGACAGGGCAAATGCAACTTGCATATCCCCGTCGTCGATGCGACGCGCCCTTATGGCGTCATCCAATTCGACGAACCATCTCAAGAGGGAGTCCTCTTCGACCCCCCTATACTTTGAGATGTCAATCTTCAAAGTCTCGGGTCGACGCGAGTGCATCGACCCGCCAGCAGCAGCCTGCTGCTGTCTCAACAGTTCAAACTGTTGAGCACCCTGTTCTCTCAACAACTCTGCTTGTTGAGAACCTTGTTGGTGAAGCAAGGCTACTTTCTCGCGTTCAGCGCAAGTTCATTTTGAATGAACTTGGCGATAGTAGCATGTTGGGCATCTCTATTGAGAGCCTCTAGCATGACGCTAACAGCATGGATGCCCATGGTCGAACCCATTCGTTCAACCGCATCCCATTCGACATCGCTCAAATGGGAGTAGCCGTCACGCGTAGCGTGAAAGCTTTGGTCATCTTCATCATCCAACATATTCATGTTAGATGTGAACGTGGTCCTTGGACGGACTACGAAGTGCTGCCAGGTGTAACGGGGCACCCTGAAGCTTGTACTGGTGACAGTACAAGCTACTTATTCTGATGACAGAATAAGGCGGTGCCTCGTAACTTCACGTACACTCGTACGTGCAGAGGAAGACGGTAAGAAGAAGCGAGTACTTCGTTAAAGTAAAAAGTAGAACTGTATTTATAATAGTTAATGTCTGCAATAAATCACTATTTATCTTCATCTAACTATGTCTAAATACAAATGTGTAAATGAGTTATCTGCTCACCACTCATTGCGTGCGTCTGTCGTGGCGCGTCTTCGTTGGTTGATATAATGGCCTATATCAACCAATTAGGAACTACTTGTAAGTGCTACAGAATATTTGTCCTTATGACAATATTCTGAGAATATAACTCTTATAGTTATATTCTATTAACAATTTCTTATAAATTGTTATGTAACGATTCACCCCGTTACATCACCCCCCCTAACCATCAGTCACTTTAGTGACTGATTGACTAAATGGATACTCGTCCTAGATCATTTGGGACAGGGTTTGCACTTGTTGGTCCGCGTCCACTTCCCAACATTTCATCGCATGGTTAACAAGCCCATGCGATGCGCGAGCAAGGCCGCCGAGAGCGCGTCCGCACGTCTCTGTGCGGACGCCGAAGCAGAAACCACAGCAACTGATGTCTCATCGGTTGCTGAAGCGACCCAGCCTGTGTCACTTGGTGATGCAGACGCTGGTCATGAAGACACTCATGTCTTCACAGAGTATGAGCTCGGTGTCTCATACTCTCCTGATACGGAAGACGGATCCGTATCTACGGCGATCAAATCCAAGCCGCCTGCCAAGCGTGGCATGGACGATGCTTTGCGTCGCAGCATCTTTAATTCATCTGATGAATCAGATGAACCATCGCCGAAGCGAAGGCGCTCGAGGTCGCGAGACTCGGGCGCTAATAGTGGTGTCGGTTCTCCTATGGACACCACTTCACAGCGAGGTGCCAGTACTTCTGTCGGCACGTCGCAGGAAGAGCGGGACCGCAATGTGTTGCGTTTCGCTCCTGAGAAGAAGGCATGGATGCCTCCAAAATCCGTCATGGATCACTTGTCGGCGACGACGAGTGATCGTTATCGAAACGGTTGTTCGATTCGTCAAGGATCCATCACCTTGACCCCAGTGCGAAAAACTATCGCGCTGAACATGAATTCTTCATCGATGGTTTCTTTAGACATCGATGGTACAGTGGGAATCACAAACGTGATGGTCCCTCACTACTTCAGGCGTGGAACGCCTACATCCATAATCTCGAGGATGTAGGTCGTGACGCTTGGAACGACAAACTTATCAAAGCTCGTGATAAGTTTGACAAAGCGAACCCCGACAGGTGCACGCTACAAGCTGCATCGTCTGTCAAGGGAGAAAGGATTACCTTGCCTCTCTTGGGGAGACTCGTGCCCATGTTGTGTGAACAACTCTGCACGAGCACCTAAGGAGGATTACCTCCTTACCAGCCCGTGGTGGCGCGTACGTGTCTCTACTGAGATGTACGAAGGGATTGACAACCTGAAATCCCTTTACGACCGTGCCGGGAAGACTTTCTCCGGCGGTCCTTCTGCGGCACAGGATGTGTCGCGTCGTACTGCTCGACCAGACCCAGTACGTCAACCATCAATTGAGAGCGGGGCTCCCAAGAATCCCAGGACGGGGGATAGCCGCGCCACCGGACGAGGTAACTCGTCCGACGTCCGTTCACGTCGCGGTGGTTCAACAGCTGCTCTACTAGATAGCGCTGGCCACCGCGAGAGTCCTCTAATGGAGGTGGAGGAGGAGGAAAGACGCTCTCCACACGATCATGTGGATCGGTGTGTTCCCGAGAGCTTCTTTGATCGCGTAACGCAAGGGTTACGCGACGATCTCGAGCATGAGCGGAATAGGCGTCTCCAAATGGCGGACACTGCCTCGAAGCATCGAGCTGAGTTTGCCTTTGCTCAGCTTGAGAACGAGAGATCTCTGACATCTCTTCGTGACGAGCTAAGGGTAGCTCGTGGGATTGCTGATCGGTCTCGGGATGAGATAGCTGCTCTTCAGACCCTTGTTGATGCCCACCATCGGGAGCACAAGGCTCTCTGCGAGATGCTTGAGCGCAAGGGCGTTCTTCATCGGAAGAAGCAGCGTACTGATGGTACGGCTTAAGCCGACCAACGTAAAACGTGGGATGCGTTCGCATCTTACGTGGTAACTCGATCGTGTATGCATTGCCTAGGCGGTGCAATACACGAAATGGGCCGATGTACTTGGGTAGTAGTTTACTGCTACCCAAGTTAGTCACTACATGCTTTGGTAGATTAACCGTAGACAGTAGGACTAAGCCACCTTTATTAAATAAAAGAGTGTTTGCCCTTCCATTCTTGTCAGCGTTTTGCTTTTGCTTATCCACCGCTTCGGCGATGGAGTCTTGCACAAAACGGACTACCGTTTCACGAGCCAGTATGAACTCATCTGATGACTCGTTAGCTTCAGTGTGCTGTGAGCGCACTGCAGCAACATCAACCTTTTCTTCAGTGAGGGCTTCCGCACTCTCACTGGCATCATCTTCTTCGATATCGATGTTATCGATATCGGCATCAAACGCAATGACTTCTTCGTCAGAGCGTGATGAGCGTGAACCAATTCGGTTTTTGCTCGCGCGAGTCCCTCCCCCCCCTTAAACCAGAGTTACACTCTAGTAAGGTGGGTACACGTGGATGGCGCAAGCCATTCACGTTAAACGGCGTATGTGTCGTGGACGCATGCACCGAGTTGTTGATGGCAAACTCTACCATTGGCAAAAACTCACTCCAACTCTTAAAGGAGTGTACGTATCCTCGAAGGATCTCTTCAAGGACACGATTGGCACGTTCCGTCTGACCATCTGTCTCTGGATGATCAGATGTCGACATCTTCAAGCGCGTTCCGAGTGATTTGAACACGGAACGCCAGAAATCAGCAGTGAATCGTGGATCTCTGTCTGATACAAGTTCACGGGGCAACCCATGAAGTCGGAAGCTGGTGTCGGTAAGGACACAAGCGTAGTCACTTGCCGTGATTGACTCTAGTACCGTCAAAATGGTGTACCATTTTGCTGAATTTGTCAACAAATACGAGAATACCCGTATTCTTGCGTGCGTCTTTGGGTAACCCGAAGACAAAATCTATTGAGATGGATTCCCAGCACTCAGCCGGAGCCGGTAGAGGCTGTAAAGGTGCACGCAGTGAAGGACTTGACTTCACTCGTTGACAGACTTCGCATGCGCGAACACACTTTCGCACAAACTGATACTGGCGGGGCCAGTAAAAGTATCGACTCACCGTGAGATATGTTTTCTCCCGGCCACGATGTCCTCCAATAGGAGCATCGTGATACTCGAACATGATCCGCAAACGCAGATCAGTATCATCTGGAATGACAACACGTGGTGTGTCACCAGAAACAGCTGTATAGTACAGTAAACCGTTGCGAGTAGTGTATCGATCTGATGCAGATCGATACGCAGACGACAATCGTTTCAACGATTCTCGAGATGGTTGGGAGAGATGTGTCAACAACTTCACTATCTCACCATCTTGGGCGTATGCCCGCCTCACATCATCATACAACGTTGTAGATGGGACTGAGGACGTCATAACCGCAACAGTGACTGTCTCACTGTTGGGTTTCGCGACTGTTTCAAAGTCGGGACGACGTGAGAGTGCATCAGCAACGACATTAAGTCGTCCTGGTTTGTACTCGACCGTAAAGTTGTATTCCGCAAAGAATGACAACGATCGCGCCATTCGTTGTGAAAGGTGCGGGCTGTTCACTGCCGTGCGTAATGACGCATGGTCAGTGTAAACAACGAAGGGTCTATCTCCTAATAGATAGACTCTGAACTTCGCGAGTGCATACTTCATGGCAAGGAGTTCCTTGTCATGCACTGGATAGTTCCGCTCAGCTGGTTGCAGCTGACGCGACTGATAGCAGACGACGCGTTCAACGCCTTCTAGGTCGTACTGCATTAATGCACAGCCGATTGCGAAATCGCTGGCATCACAGACCACATGAAATGGCCTGTCCTGATCGGCTATTGCTAGGACTGGGGATTGTATCAAGCTCTGCTTGATACCCTCAAAGGAGCGCTGACATTCAGCGTTCCATAACCACCTCTCGTTCTTTTTCAACAAACGAGAGAGGTGTACAGTCATCTCGGCGTAATTGCGTGAATACTTATGCAAATACGCCGCTAGCCCAAGGAATTTTCGAAGACCTTTGACATCGACCGGCACAGGCCAGTCGGTGATCGCCTTGATCTTTTCGGGATCAGGACGTACACCGTTCTTACCAACGATGCACCCAAGAAGTGGTATTTCGCTTGCTGCAAATATACACTTCTTGAGGTTTGCATACAATTGATGCTTTCGCATGATTGTAAGAACCTGTCGGACGTGGTACCTGTGAACCTCAACGTCCGACTTTCCATCCATAGCTCGACTATGGATGAATACGTCATCGAAATAAATCGGCGCGAATTCTCGTACTGGTCTCAACAGATGTGTATCACATCTGTTGAACGTGGCAGGGGCATTACTAAGCCCTTGTGGCATTACTAGCCATTCACAGAGCATGCCGCTAGGCGTGCTAACTGCGGTATAGGGTATTTCCCGTTCCCGCATAAGGATTTGATAGAAGCCATCCATCAAATCCATGGACGAAAAGATGGTACTCTTTGACATACCATCAATGATTACGTCCTTCTTCGGTATCGGCCTCTGAGCCGGTACCGTTGCAGCGTTCAATTTGTTGAACGCGTGCGCTATCCGCCACCCTCCTGTTGCTTTTCGCACACAGAAGGTCGGAGAGCTATGTGGGGAAGTTGATTCCCTCAAATGGCCCGCAGCTAAACGATCGGCAAAGAACTTGTCGATCGCAAGTACTTGTTCACGGGGCAGTGGCCACTCCTTCATGACACAGTACTTCGAGCCTGGTTTAAGCTCGACCTCGTGTCGAATACCTTTATCCTTCGGTAATTCGCACGGAACAGTTTCAGGGAATACATCCTTGAATTCAACCAAATCTTCATAGAGAGAATTTGTCTTGAGCGATTCCCACGATTGGGAATCATATCGCTCAATTCGTGTCTTTTCATCTAGGACACTCTCGTCCATAGATGAACTACTGAGAACTCTCTCGTTCTCAGTAAACACTGTTGCTGACCTTATGTCGGTTACACACTCGTCGTCAGCGACGAGTATGCAGATCTGCTTGACTTTGCCACTACGCAGATCACGCAAGAACCTTTTATGTTCGAGCGTTGGCAACTGAGTGATCTCCGAAGTTTACTTCGGAGGCGCAATCAGATCAAGTGTATAAGCGCCTACACATGATCCGTTATTGACTATGACATTCAATGTCTCTGTCATTTCCTGGGGACTTATTCCCTCAGGCTTCGAAGGACTTATTCCTTCGTCTTCCCGGGGACTTATTCCCGCGGGTTTCGGGGAACTTATTTCCGCCGTATTTGCAATATCGGGACTTATTCCCTTAATTTCCTCTAGCTGTGGTTGCGCAACCACAGCGAGATCCTCTACGAAAGACTCTCCAGTCGATCTAGGATTATCGTTTCGCTTAACCTGAGCGATCGATTGTTTCTCTTCTGGATGTTCCCCGCTAGGGATACATCTTTGTCCCAGTCCACCCGACTTATTCGAGTGGTGGACCTTCGGCGCAGCCTGTGTTTCCTCACAGCCGCCGGAACTTTGCTCCGAAGTGTAACCGTTTGGTACACTAAGGTTTTGTGCAGTCGTACTAACGACCGTACCACAAGTGAGGCCATCGCACTCACTCGTAGTACATCCACACGCTTGTGGACGCTCCAAAACGTTCATCAGATGGCCATCTGATGAACAAGCGGCAGGCATCGTTACTGTCCGATGTTGCCAGTTTACCCGAGGTTCGTACCTTCTGAGCCACGGTATTCCAAGGATGACATCAAATTTGTCATCCAAATCCAATACGATAAAGTCATCGTCATATTGGGTATTTTCTAGCGTATAGTGGATCTTCACTATACGCTTCATGACGGTTACGGATGCGCCTGTCGCAAGACGTACCGTCATCCTCGTAGGAGGTGTGTCACATTCACTGAACTCAAAGTGACCATCTTCTAGCGATTGGCGTCGCACAAAATTGTTGGACGCCCCACAATCGACTAGAGCTCGAAGGGACAACTTATTCGTCACTTCGAGTTTCAAGGTAATGAGTGAGACCTCATTACCTAGAGCAGCAACGCACAACGTTTGTGTGTTGGGAGCAACCTTCATCAAGAGGCCTACAAATTCTCTTGACGTTGCTGGATCAGTAGGGTGCTCCGCACCTACTGATCCTGTCCGTTTTTTGACGGTCCATCCCGTTTGTTGCGTCTTTGCACCAACAGCGGACCCTCGTCCCTGCCCCTTTCTCATGGGTGGACGGTCACTACGCCCAGTGTCGCGAGACACTGGACGAGGGGCACTACACTCGTAAGCGTAGTGTCCTGTCTTTTGACATCTGTTGCATCTCTGCAACTTCTTGTAGTCTGTAGAGCGATCCTTCTCGCTCTCTACATAACAGAGTTCCATCGGCTCTGGACCTCCGTTGTCATATCGTCTCGGTTGACGATATGATGTCGAGCTGGCGCGAGCCTGTCTCAGACTGAAGTCTTCCTGTTCCGCAATGGAAATGGCTTGTTCTAGTGAATCTAGTTCAAGTCGGAACAGGTGAGTCTTGACGGGACCATCCGCAAGACCCTGCATGAACACCGAAACCAACGTGTGTTCATCCACCGGATTGGAACTTATACAACTCGTGAGATGTCGTATATGTTGAGCGTAAGCGTGCACATCACGCTTACCCTGCTTGAGCTTCAAGAGTTCGGTTCGAGCCCTGAACTCAGCTCTAGGCGGTTCAAACGTTTGTCTGAGCCGCGACTTGAAGACTTCCAACGACCCAAACGCATATGGGTCGTGCAACTTGAGCCCCAGTGCCCAAGTCTTGGCACTTCCTGCCAGATTTGACAGGGCAAATGCAACTTGCATATCCCCGTCGTCGATGCGACGCGCCCTTATGGCGTCATCCAATTCGACGAACCATCTCAAGAGGGAGTCCTCTTCGACTCCCCTATACTTTGAGATGTCAATCT